GTAACTCATGTGTGTAGTTATGCCAAAAATAAAAGTATATATATAGGAGTTAGAATTAGATGGTTGGAATGGAATGTTACTTTATGCTACTTCCTCACATGAAAATAGTTCCTAATAGTGCTTTCTTACAGGGTATCTCTAGGCTGTGGGAAAAAAAAAGAGTTTCAGTGGATGAACATTATTATTGCCCAAATCCTGTGATTCTGAGAAGGAAACAATGCTATGGCAAGTATCTCTTTTTTTGGTAAATGTGTAGAAGAGCACAACAGTCAGCTCTGCAGAAGAATTTTCATCAGACAGAATAAAGGCAGAATCACTGCTGCATTTTGGACACAATTGCACAAATTTTAGTTCTTTGGTTAACAGAAAAAAAAAATGCAGATGAAGATTAAGTGACAAACAGGGTGTTTCTGTTGCTGCTGATGTTTCTTTAGTTCATGTAAAGGACATTTCCAACACCCAAGTAGTGACTAAAGTATCTGAAATGAACTCTGCGTTTTTCAAGTCACTTGCTATCAGTATTTACAAAGCAGTGAGTTATCATGAGTGACAGACGAATCCAAAGACTTTAAATAGAATTGGTAAAGTCTGAAACCCATGGGTTCAACAGATTATAGGAGACAACATTATGCAATGTACATCATTATTACATGACTCTTACAATGCAGTTGATTTCAGTACTGGATGGCTAAATGTTTTACAGACATGTTTTTTTGTTGTAAATCAGTTAGAGACCTTCTAGAATAGAGACAGTCACAGACAGTTTTTGCCCTTAGAACTCACAGCATCTCTGAGCGTGTGGAAAAATACAGCACCTCCAGCAAGTCCTTGGTGGAAGGCTGGAGTTAATTATTCTGGCCAGCTACTGTGTCTCACTAAACCATTCTTTTTCCCTCAAAAAGGACTGTCTTGGGAGACAAGTGTTGTGACAAATCAGGTCAGTGCATGCTTGGGTCAAACAGAAAGCAAGCTCTTTTCCAAAATTCAACAGTTTCTGGTTTTGCGATCAGGCACCTCCAGACTTCACCTGCACAGAGCTCTATTCCCAGCTGTAGTGGTGTTTACCAACATTACTCTCAACCCCCCTTATTTAATATATGGCTTCATATCTGCACATGGCCTTCTGTTCACACACACCGACAGCTAAGAAGGGGCTTTGTTAATCCCATTCTGCTGTACAAATAGCAAGATGTCTGACTGTCTTCTGTTGTGAGGCAATGAGGCAGAATCACACAACAAAAACATCCTTCTTCTTCATTACAGCCTTTGTATGAGCATTTCCAAGCTCACCTGTCTCCAGCCTCGTTCCACTTGACTCAGAGTTCTCTGTCCTAGTCAGTTCTCCAGGCTCACCTGTGGTGCTCTGAGACAGCAGCTTAGCTCATTATGTCTTCCAAGCTCCCAGCTCCAAGTCCCCTTACACAGACTATACCTCATGCTGACACCAGTGACTGTGCAGTAAGCCCGGTCAGGCAGTCCCTCCAGCTTAACTGATGGCTTCTGGATACACCACCGGAATGTATGGACAAGTATGGGTATGGACGGGAACCACAAATGGCCCAAATTCAACATTTGTGAGCTGCAATGAAAGCTGCAATTCTCTACGAGGGCACAGCTTTTGCAAAGAAAAAAAAAAAAAAGAAAAAAAAAGAAAAAATTTATTCCTCAGGATTTCAAATTACTTATGTCAGTATTTGAAACTGTGGGTCAATCCAGGCAGTAGAAACATGGCACTTGGAATTAAACTGGCTAAAGCTGCTGAGAAACTGCCATTTGAATATGCTTCTTTGAGAACTGCCATCCTGGCAGCTTCTTCCCATCTAATAAATTTGAACTTCTTGGCAGGGGTGGGGTGGCTTTTTTGGTGACTTGTAACAGAAAGAATTCTAACTTGTACTTACTCAGTAAGGGCTAATCCTAGAATAAAATAAATATTAAATCCTAGAATAAAAGAGAAATAGTTTATGTAGGGACACAGAAGAGGCTGGATGTACAGAGGAATGGTACTTTCCATAAAATTTAATGGACTTTCCATACCACAGTGAGTCTACAGCTAGTCACTAAACACGTGACCATTCATGATCTGAAAAAGGGAACAAACAGTTCAGTACATCAAATGTATTAAATGCAAGTAAGAAGCTCCCAGACAGCCCATCATTTAGATCTGTAAATTTACAAATTGCAAACACTGGTCCAAAGAGATGCTGTGAATTCCTCAGTTTTCTAATATAATGGTGGAGGTGTTAATTTTGATTCAACTATGCACATCAAATACTCAAGGTAATCATGCATTAAAAAGATAGTGTGGACATACATATCTATTAGCTGGCAAAAGATTATGAATATCTGCCATAAAATTTATTTTACTTTTTGCCTCAAATTTCAATATTCAGGCATTTCTCCTCTTAAACTCCTTCAGTTGTTTAAACAAGACTTCTGGTCTAAAAATAATGCTTCCAATTTTTAAAAATGAGTATTTAGTGCCAGATCTATAGTTTCTTGGCCTGTAGTGTGAGAAGCTGCTGGTCTGTTAAGCTTTGGAACCAGACACATAGCAAACACTAGTTCTGTTCATAAAGAGAAAAAAAAAAAATCTAGAGTTGAGCTCGTTTTTAATCCTTTCTGCTATTGTTGGTAGTCCAAAACAGCAATATTCAATAACAGGAACCCTCAAGCCTAGCTTTTAGGCATGGTCAGTCTATCCTAACCTGATCTCGTGCTTCCAGTTTCCTTCAGGTTAAGCTGATTCATTTTGCACTTCAGATGTATGCACATAGAGAAAAGCACTCTCTCTACTGAGCCTCTATGTATTCCCTGCTACATTTACCCATTCCCTTGACAACAAAATTACTTCAGGCCGTGTTATTGTTACACGTATTTTAGGCATCTATCGGCAGATCAATTTTCTCTTCTGTGTGGTCAGATCAGAACTGTTTACAGTGGTTTACTTTCTTCTGAACTGATGACTGAAGCTGATTATTCTTACCAGACCAGATAAAAAGTCAGTCTTTGAAGACACTTGTGGAAAGCTATGAAGGCATTTCCAGGCTACTGTCAGTACCATGGGGACTCTTAGTAAGCTGGAAGTAGAAAAGTGACTCTGCACTAAGACATCAATACTCCTTCTCATATCCACTACAGCTGTGTTATTTCTAATAATCAGCCCAAATAAACTCCTTGTAAGTTATAACAATTCACCTTGTGATAAGGCTTTCAGCTTAATAAGAAAGTTTCAGCTCTCCCACTCCTACACTAGTCCCCCTGTCCTAAATTAGGTGGCCTATAATTCTAGCAGTAAGTAACTTTCCTTTTCCTTACCTCCTTATGTATTTATTTTTAAATTTACAGTATGTAAATATACAACTAGCTTCAGAATCACTGGTCTCTGATTTTTACTTTTTTTTTACCTGGTGAGTAAAATGCATTCCAATGTCTATACAAGAAAATGCATTTATTTGTAGCTTGAGCTACAAATACAAAACTATGGTACAAAAATACACAACCTAAAAGCAAAACCACATTAATATTGTGCATATGTCTAATACCAGGAGGCCTGAATTGCATCAAGTGGCTCTGAAGATTGTAAGTACATAAATGCAATAGAGTTTATTTCGGATGCAGAACAGAAAACAGGAAACAACACAACTGGCCATCATCTGCAGTTATTAATTTCAGGAAAGAATCTGTCCTGTGGAGATTTACTGGTTACTGTATTTCAGTAGATTTCTAATGTAAACGGCAATGACTTTGAAGTTGAATTTTATTGTACTGTATAACAGACTCCAATATGAGCACCTTATTAACAGATCTACCTTAATTATCACAGTATAAACTTACATTTATGCATGTATTGCAGGAACTGTCCTAGAGCCCAAGGGAGGGTAAAAGAGATCCACGGGCATGGGAACTCTCAAACCCCTACTCTGCACCACTTGGAACAAAATACCAATTAAAACGGTCAGATAAGCACTTAACGACCAGAAGTTCGTGGTTTTTTTAATTAAAAAACGCTACTAGAATTTCAATCTCCACCTCCAAGGGCACCAGCACCAGAAGCTGGTTATCCGCGCTCGGTGGGGCGCTGGGGGCTCCAGCCCTTGGCTGATATCTCGCTCTCTCTCGGCAGCAATACCCGTACAGATGAGGGCAGTGATGAGAGCAGCGGCAGCGGACCCCAGACCCCCCTTCCTCGTTCCCGGTGGTTTCCGGGAAGGATCGCCGCTCTCCGGGAAGGATCGCCGCTCTCCGGGAGCGCCGCGCGCCCACAGCGCCCCCTGCCGGCCGCTCCGGGCATGGCGAGGCTCCCCTCGGAGCCTCCCCATTGGACGGCGCTCCGCGCGCCCCCATTGGGCGAGCCCAGGGAAGGGGCGGTGCCGCCTCCCAACACGTGAGCGCGGGAGGCGCGCGCCCCCCTTCCTCTGGCGCCCTCCTGGAGCCCCCTGGCGGGCGGCGGCCGCGCGGCTCGGGCGGGCCGGCAATGGAGGGGAGCGGCGGGGGGGACACGGCCCCGGCCCCGGCCCCGGCCCCGGCCCCGGCCCCGGGAGAGGAGAGGAGGAGGAGGAGGAGGGCGAGGGCTGCGAGGGGCTTTGGGAGCTGCCGGTGGAGCTCTGCGAGAGGCGGCCCGAGTGCGGGCGCTGCAGGTGACGGGGGCGCAGGGCCGCGCCGAGGCCACGGGGCGGGCGCGGGTCGGTGTCGCGGCGGGGCCGGAGCCGCCCCCGGGGACACCCGCACCGAGCGGGTCGGTGTCAGCGGGGCCCGCCCGCCCAGCAGCGCCTGTGGCATCGCACAGTCACCGATGGGCCGGGCTGGGGGGCAGCACGGAGGGCATGTGGTCCCACCTCCCCGCTCCAGCAGGGTCATCCCAGAGCACGTGACACGGGATTGTGTCCAGATGGCCCTTGGACATCCCCAGTGAGGGAGACTCCACAGCTTCTCCGGGCAGTCTGTTCCAGTGGAGAGCAAAGAAGTTCTTTCTCATGTTCAGGTGGAACTTCCTGTGCATCAGTTTCTGTGCATTGCCTCTTGTCCTGAAGGCATCGTGTCCTGAGAGCATGTGCGCACCTCGTGTGTAACAAAATCATGGCATGGACTAACTTTGTTATGGAGGGGGAATGACGGAGTGTGGGAAGGAATATATAGAGGCTCGGCAGGGAGTGCTACACCTTTTCGCTGTACGAACACACCTGAAGAGCAAAAGGTGAGGTGGGAGGGGGAAGGTGCATCGCCCCAGTGTCACGCAGAGACTTCAGCAGGGCTGGGCAGTCCTTGGTGCTTTGTGAAAAGAAAACGAGAAACTAGCCTTATCTAACAGCTTTACAGCTAATTTTGAAATCCATTCAAGCACCGGGGCATGGAGGGGTTAATATAACTTGTTGTGAATTCGGGTATCTCTCTAAAGCAGGCAGTCACTTCTGGTGTTATGGAAATATCTCATAACCTGATTTTATGTCTTTCTACGTATGTCCTTTTATTAGAGTGAGTGGCAGGATGTCAGATGTTCCTTCACTGTGCATAACAGCCAAAGGAAAAGATTCCCAGCACCTACACTGATTTCTTCAGTTTCTGTTAATTGGCGAAACAAGTAGAAAGGCATGTAATTTTGCTAAAGTGTCAGAGTTCAGAAGCTTATTTTTGGTAAGATTCCTGTATATAAGTTGTCATAAAAAAAATATGTACCATGCAAGTCATAATATTTTTAAGTGTTCACTGTTGAAAAAAGTAGTCATAGGCAGTAGTTGAAGCCCAAAGAACAGATGCAGGACACTTGCTTTTTGCTGCCCTTTATTTTTCTCCAGTGATTTGTAGCTCAAATAACTTCTTGAACTGGATGTGGCGTTGTGTCTATTTGTATGCCGCAGTAGACATAGGGGTTTTTTGGTTTCTTTTGGTGTAAATTTCTCCAGTCCCCCTTGAACCCATGTAAAGTTCTTGTGTCAGCAACATCAGACTGGCAGGAAGACACCCCAGACCTACAAACCCCAGAGTGGAGGGAATTACCTTTTGGTTTATTTTTTTATGATTTCTACCTTCCTCTTCTCCACATAGTATATAAGATATGAGTGAGCCAGCCAGATTTATACCTTGGCTAATGTTCTTCTGCTTATAGGACCCTTCCTCATGCTATGGCTGCTTAGCTTCCTTGTAACCTTTTGGTAAGGGACTTTGGGAAGTATTTTGGAAAGCCAAAGTTGATTTTGACAACTACAGCACCCTCACCGCTGTATTTATTGACTCTTTCTGAGATCTTAAATAGTTTTGAAAAGCAGGATTTCCTTTTGCAAAAGCCATGCCAATTCTTCTACTTTTTGTAAGGGTCCACTAACCATGTTTTTAATTGTAGCTTCTGTTCACACAAACAGTTTTATTTGTTGAAGATTTTTATTTTTAGTTGTTTTCTGCTTTCCATTTCTAGTCCTGACATGTCAAGAAACCACCGAATGAGAGTTAACCCACTGTCATTCTTTACGGAGGTGTTTAACCTTGAGCTCTTTCAAAATGCCAATAGCGTACTGTTCATTACTGTTGAGTTTTTTTTGCCATTGTGTTTCATGACCTCTACCCTAGTTCCTTCAATTTTGGACAGATTCTCTGATCAGTCACCTTCAGAAATGGTTTCTAGAATAGACTTTTGTGGTAAATCTGATGGAAAGTATTTACTCAGCTCCTCAATACCATGTAGTAGTTGGCTTTCTGAAGAGCTGTGAATGAATTACACCTGCTGTGAAGAGCATAGGTACAGTGAGCACAGACACTGAAGGAAATGTAGGGGCAGAAAAACCAAGGAGGATGAAAAGACAACAGAGTTGCTTACTTTTTAAGAAAAAAAGGAAGTGGCATTTTTTAATTGAAGTTTTGGTGGAGGTGACTACGACTAAATTGTGCACACAGTGTATTTTTGCAGTGTTATCTTCTCCATTCTCTTCCTCGGGAATATAACTAAATTATGATTTTCAATGAGCATGACATTCTGTGGCATGACTTGGAGTAGAAGTGCAGAAGTGCTGAGTAGAGTAAGGCTGTGACTTAGGATACATCATGGGACGAAATGTTATCCTGTTGGCTGGGGCTAGGTACGTTTATCTGACTCACTCGTTTCCTGAACTATGGATTTTTACTGTTAGCACCTTAATGACTGTGACTTAGTTGTCATGATGATCTGAATTCAGTGCAAAAGCATGGAAGAATGGGTTCTCTTTATGGTAGTTCCTCATGGGGACTGACTTCAGGTTCTGACTTTTTAAAAAATATGTCAAGACACCTGATTGACAATTTTTTAACCAAGTACTCTGGCAGTCAAAATGTCAATAGAAATGTAGGTGTATAGTAGATAAGTTTTCATTTTGGATAATATGAGTGACTTCAGTATCCTGAAGGAACAAAATGTTTCTAACTATTAAGTATTTGAGACTTTCTATTGCCTGTGATGGTTGTGGAGAAAATACAACTATTTGAAATAGCTTATGGTGGAGAATTTGAGTGAAATAAGATAATGAGATTTTACATTTTGAAGGTGTTTGTGTGTAAGTGCCAGTTTAAAAAAAAAAAAAGTAAAAATAACCCAGCTTGTAGTTGGTGTTTGAGATGGCAAATAGCTGATGAAAGTGAAGTGTATGCAGTTGACTTTATGCTGTTTTATTCTTGAGGATACAATTTAATACATACTCTGTTTGCCAAAACCAAAAGTTTGGTGGTGATAAACTTTGAATTAATAACTTCTTAAGGCTTTCATAGCTGACTATTTGTTTTTAGAAGTTAAAGCCCCACACCCAAACATTTAAATAGGAGCATACGCTGAATATAGTTTCCTAGTTGCTGTTAACTTGAAAACCAAAATGAGGCAGGCCCCACAACTGAAGTAATGTAGGACAACAATTTGATTTTGTGGTGTGACACTGAAAGCAATATAACATTTTGAAACAGTGTCCTTCTGTGGGTCAGATTTCACTGTTTTCTAGATACATTGTGTGCAGTTAAGGAAAGAACCTTTTGGTAGTACAAGAGCCTTAAACAAGAACCTTAACGATTTCTTGCCACAGATCTTGATTGTGCATATGCAGAATTTTATTGTAGTAGGAGAACTTCTGGGAAATGTTTTCAGGAGAAATTAAGATTTTAAACTGAATATAATTTATGATCTCTGGGGATTCCTAGGTCTCCTGTATGCCATCACAGATCCCCACTGGAAACAGTCCTCTTTGTTTGCAGGACTGAGTTATGTTGTAAAGTTAGGATAATAAAAATTGGTGTGTTCTCAGGGTCTCTATGATGTATTCTGCTGTACTGTATTTGTATTTCAGGGGGAGGGGAAGAGAAGGAATAACTTTAATCCTTTAATACAAATGTTTCCTTTGCCTATATCTAAAATATTACAGATATTCTGCTGAATCTGGGTACTGTTTGAGGGCTCTTGATAGCATTGGTACATTGATAATGACATAAGATGACAGAGTGCTGCTTCATACTTTGAGGAAAAATGTAGTGTTCTTACATAAGTGTCACATATTTGTTAATAATTCTGTTAAATCATATAAAGATTGAGTCTGAAGAAGCAATGTGGGCTTTTTTCAACACAATAAATATATGCAGTTGCTTTATAGCACACTGCTATGGTATTTAGGTGCAAACGTGAATTATAAATATTAATTAGCATGCGTTAGCAGTGCCTGTTGCAAGAAAATAGCTTCATAGTCTTTGATTTCTTTTATGTTCTTAGAAATGAACTTTAAAGGCATTTATTTTCACTGCTCTAAGTTTATTGCAGTTTTTCAATCCCTGAAAGTATTGATTTGTAGTCAATAAATAAATAAACTTCTTATGTAACTGAAACTATATTTTCCTCTGGGTCTTTGACTTGTAAGAGGTGACTTATAGTTCTGTAGGATATTTTTCTAAAAGGTTTCATGTATTTCCTATTCTGTTTGCATTGATAAAAAGGAAAAAAATTGCACAGGATTAGGTGACAGGCATCAGTTGATTGAGTTTTATTGTTCCAGGTTCTTAAGTGATGTATCAAGTGCAAATTTTTTAAAATGTTATTAGCCCTTTTAAAGACTGCTAAATCAGAGGAATATTTTTTCTGAATTTACTCATGTCCAGTGTAGTTAAATGCATAGAGTGGGTTTACAATTGCCTGTATCTGAGAATCTGCATATCAAACCTGCATGTTTTACGTGGATAAGTAAGGTGATTCTGCAGAGTTTAGAAGGAGCTAAATTTGTGCATCATCAGGAGACAGAAAGGATGAGGTGGAACAGATGAAACAATTCACATCTTAATTTATCAGCAACTAAAACCAAGGTTGTGCCAGTAATTATTTTCCTTCACTGGGAGAGGTGGGTTCACTGTGTCACTGGAAGGAATCTTACAGGATTTCAGGAGGGAGTGACTCTATCTCATAATTTGATATTAAGTGGTTCCATAGAGTGTATTGGTGCCTGAGGTTGTTCTTCCTCCGATGCAGGACTTTGCTGAAATTTCATGAAATTCCTTCCAGCCTGTCAAGGTCTGTCCTGCCAGATGCCAGTATTCCCTGGTAAGGTTCTTCTGGATGTACCAATGGGGAAAGATTGAAAGTTTAATAGAAGATATCTGCTGTTACATGAATTTTAATTTAGCAGTGTACTAAAATCATAATAGAATCACAATATGGCAGTTGCAGTCTACAGAGGATATTGAATCATCATAGAAATGTGATTACTGGTATCTATATGCTAGCTATCACTGTGCTTCTTAAATTACTGTAAAGGAGTGCATGGGTTGAACCCAGCTTGAACTCATTGCTCTTTTCAGAGCTCATTTGGCATTTGCTCAGCTTTTGTACTGTGCTGAGCCACATAAATACTTTCTCCATGCTAGTCTGGCTGGGTCAGGGAGATAATAATCTCTATGGATTTTCTTAGGGGAGACCATTTAGACAAACAGTTGACCCATAGAGCAGTTTATCTAAAGCAAAGTCCCTCTTCCAGTCCCCTTCGTATTGAAATAAGTCCATCTTCCTTTGTGATAACACTGGTGATTTTCCTACATTGTTTCCTGAACCACCTTTTCTTGAAGGGTTCATTTATCATCGGTTGCACCTCTGATGGCTGCACAGCCATGTACTTGCTACTTTATTGGCTGTGATCCTGCTAAGCGTGCACTCTGTTCCATCATCCAGGTCAGTAATGAAGGGGTTAAGTAGTGTTGGCCCCAATATCA